TTGCTGGTTTGTATTATTTCAATAAAGAGAAAAAAAAAAGAACAGCAGCAGCATTAGGAGGAGGAGGGGGGGGAATCTCATTGGGCCGGACCCGGGGGGTTTCGGTGCGGTATAGTCTGTACGACATACGTCTACTCGGGAGGGGGGATTTAGCAGTGCTGGGCATGGGTGTTATGCGTGTGGCAAGCAAGAGGAGAGTGTTCGGCACACCAGTCACAGCACGCGAGAGGTTTTGCCTTGGCCCCTCCTCTGCTTTTCTTTCTCAAGTGTCGGAGCTCGGTCGCCGGCTTGGTTGGAAGAAGGGAGGGGGAACAAGCTCACGCAACCACCATCACCACATGGTGGGATCAAGCCACCTACCAGACAGAGGGCTACCGAGGTTGGCCAAAGTTTGGTTGTGGACAATTACTTGGCAGGGACCTTGACCCAGACACCATGATGATACATGCACATGGCGACATCTACAGTTTGCTGACATATCTACGTTCACTTCAGGGAAACCGAAGCCCAAAAGAAAGCCGAACTGGCCCGCAAAAAAGCCGAGCGCGACGCCCTGCTCGCCGAGGAAGAGAAGAACACTCCCGGTCGCTCCCAGCCAAAGAACGCCAAAACGGCCGTCAAGAAGTCCCGGGGCTTGGATCTGTCGCAGCTTGATGAGCCTAGCTCTGGCCTGTCGGCGCTCAACGCATCGGGCATCGACAATGCGCTTGACGCGCTGAGCTTGGCTGGCCCAGCGACGCAGGATAAGATCGATAGACATCCCGAGAGGAGGTTCAAGGCGGCATATGCGGCTTTTGAGCAGAGGAGGCTGGCCGAGATGGAGTCGGACGGGACGGGCCAGGGGTTGAGGTTGAACCAGAAGAAGGAGAAGATCAAGAAGGAGTTTGAGAAGAGCCCGGAGAACCCGTTTAATCAGGTTAGCGCTAGGTATGATGCTACCAAGGAGGAGCTGGCCGAGTTGAAGGCGGAGGAAAGGAGGAAGATTGAGGCTAGATTGGGGAAGTAGAGCGTGGGGGTCGAGGATTGAGTGCCGAGGGGATATGTGATGGGTTACGGGAAGGTTTTGGGTCTTCGGGGAAACGGACGGCTACCGGGGGGTTAAGGTTTGATGAAGTGGGAGCGGAGAGCACACCGGTCAACCTTTCTGGGGGATCCAAGTCTTGATCGGTCCTGCGGGTGGCCCGAAAAGGATGAGGATGGGGGTGGGAGGAGGAAATTCATAGGGCAGACTCGGAGAAGGGCTGCCGTTGGGGAGGGGGGCGATAGGGTTCGTTTTTCTACCCAATAAAAAGCGTTAAGATGAGGACAGCAAATCATTGATTATTTTTTTCTCATTTGGAAGGGGGGGGGGGAGGGGAGGGGAGGGGACTTTTGTCAGTATGGTTGGTTGGGATTTTTCATTATGTACTTTTTTTGTTGCTGAGCAGAAACAGTTCTCATAGAGGCCAATGCTGCCTTGGGTTTGGAATTAGTGATTATGCAATGTACTTTTTACCACGTTTTGCCTCTTTTGACATCTTTTAGTAGGTCCGGTCCCAAGGGCTTGGTTGGGGCTTTGCTGCTGACGAACGCTGCTTGAATGGATGTGATGGCTTCTTCTCTAGGACCAGTCAAAGATATGCTCAGACGATCTACAACTGAAACTCAGGCCATTATTCGGGGTCCTTGAGGGCTTGGCATGTCAGCTTGGCTAGGCTTGATTGAGAAGTTTCGGTATGGTAGGGCTGGGTTGGGTTGTTGGTGGTGGGCTGGGCGGTGAGGTGGTTTCTGATTTTGGATGGATGCCATATTTCATGATAATTCATTTTGGCAGGGAATGCGGAGTATTTCGGGGAAATTTTAAGAGACCCTAACCCTGAATTATGGGGGTGGGGGCGTGGTGTTGGATGCTTGGCGCCAAGGGATTTGGCATGAACTGGATGGACCCTTGAACCTTGATGGGTTGTGGACGACGACATGTCATCGCTTGGATGGGTGTTGATTCTCATCGTCGAACTTCTCCTAAAATATACCATCTTTTTCCTGTTTCACTCTCTCTCATCCTAGGAACTGGCCCTCCTGAGATAGCAAGGCTGCTCATCGTCGTCGCTCGTTTCCTTTGGTTTGCAGGGGAGGCGGTCTCACCGACTTTGACTCAGGTTCACACTCACAACTCACTCTCGCTCACTCAACAAACCCAGATTGATCTATCACCGCGGCAGAGAGTTGGCATAATAATCAGCCATCACTGAGTTTTGCTCCACGACATCTCGGTACATCCTACAGTACGCAAAATGGCTTCCCCTAGGTCATCCTCATCATCCTTCTTTTCCCCCGCCAACTCCAGCACCAACCTCAGCAGCGGTGCGGGCATCATCAGCATCGCCCCTTCGCCCACGATTGTGGTTGGGTCGGAGCACACGGTCGAATCCACCAGGAAACGTCTCACCTCCCTGCCGGCGATCAAGAGGGCGAACCTCATTGCTGAATTGTATGTGCTGTTCCCTGCTGTCAAAATTTTCTCCCTTACACCATCAGAAGCTGACGACGATACATAGCACCGCCCTCAAACACTCCCCACCCCCGGGGATAATCGTCTCCCTGCCCCCATCCCCCCACAGCCCCGACTACCCCACCCTCTGGTCGGGCGTTCTTTTTGTCAGGAAAGGGCCTTACGCCACGGCTATCTTGCGGTTTCAGATCTCTTTCCCGGATGATTACCCTGACTCTGCACCGCTGGTGACGTTCTCGACGGACATTTTCCACCCGTTGATCAGCCCGCTGACGACGTACGTCGGTGAGGAGAGCGGGAAGAAGGGGGGTGTGAGGCTGCCTCCTGGGGGTTTTGGACTGTCGCATGGGTTTCCGGAGTGGTTTGCCGAGCGGGAGGGGGGAGATGGGATGGGGGGTGCGTTTGTTGTGGGTGGGAAAGGGAAAAGGGGACGGGGGGAGAGGAAGGTTAGCACGTGGGAGGTGTTGAGGTATATTAGGAGTACGTTTGATGATGAGAAGGTGTTGGATGGGGTGCCGCTTGAGGCGGCGGGGAATCCGGGGGCTTGGCATGCTTGGAGGACGCATAGACGGATGCAGAAGGAGAAGGAGGAAACGGAAAGGGAGAGGGAGCAGACGGAGACCGACACGCCCCCCCCCCCCGCGGAAGGGGAGGTGGTGGAAAAGGCGGAGACGGTGGTGAGTGATGATGGGAGGGGGAGCGTGGTTGATGCTAGGACTAGTTCTGGGAGTTTGGCTGTGCCGGCTACGCCCATGAGCAGCAGGAGACCGGAGGAGTGGAATTGGGAAGGGGTTTGGGAGAGGAGGGTGAAGAGGGGGATTGCGGCGAGTTTGTCGGAAAGTGTGCTGTTTGGGGGAGCTGGGGGGCCGGATGAGGTAATCAATTTCTTGCCGATGGACGAGGCTGAGGTTGAGGGGGTCAAGCAGAATCTCCTGAGAACGCTTGGCGCCGTGGTTTAACGCCGGGTGAGGGACCCGAAGGTTGGAACGGTGGGTTGGGGCGGACCGTGCCTTGCCCTTGTCAGGGAAGTTCCTGCTTGGTTTGCATGATGCCGACTTTGAGCGCTATCAACTGCCAGAGAGTGACGGGCCGGGAATTCATCTGATGGGATGGGTTGCGCTTGCTGCTCTTGGGGAAGGGGGGGGTGACCTAATTGCTGAAACGGGGAGGGTCCAGGTTGCCTGTCTTTTCTTGCTGCCTATTCTGTTTCTTGGTTCAACTTTTGGAAAAAATAACGACACTTTAACATGGTACCGACATTGCTTTGCCGGCATGTTTAATGGTAGATAAACTGCTCATAATACTTCAACACCCCATCTTTTTCTTCTTCTCCCGACTGTTTCAGACTTGTCAAACCCGTGGCCAAGGCGTTTTGAATACGTGGTTCTTCCTGGTTGTTTCGCAAGAGATCAACCAGCATTGTTTGCTACGCGCATCCCGAGAGCTGTACGGACCTGACTCGACAAACCGTTGATCGACTATACAAACGTTTCAGGAAAAGCGATAAGGCGGTAATGGTTGCTGTCTGTGGTCAACCATCCACCATGGCTGATAGAGAACTGCATTGCCTACCACCGGCGCGCGATCTTGGTTGGGGTCAAGTACCTGAGCCGTTACATATACGCAAGCAATCGTCCGAGTATAGCGGGAGTCGAACGTATGGTCACTCGCGGAGGTCGAGCACGCAGAGCGATGCAACCGATGCGAGCTTCGAGAGCCTACCTGAGCTTCCTGAGGCTCATGTCCCGTTGACGATTGCCAAACGAAGGGGCAATCCCAGCGCGCAATCGACGAATCCTCCTACGCCTGATGGTTCTTGCCAGTTCAGGAGTGCTTTGAGGCCAAATGGTGGGTCTTTGCCACTTGGTTGTGGTGAGAGGGTACCACACTTACACTTATCAGATGTAGGAAACATCGCGCCAACCATACCGCCCAAGTCAACACAGCGGCGATCCACCTCTTGCAATGCCGGACGACACCCCCGGGCACGATCCCCTCCGTTAACCCGGGCTTTCTACTTGGCGAGTAGCAGGAGCTTTCGAAGACGGGGACAGGTTTTGGATGGGAGTGCGGATCAGGATCAAGAGCATGGTTGGCGAGACACAACACCTGTCGTGCCGACGGCGTCTGACGGGCACCGTTTGCGCAACGCGAGAAGTCTGTTTCAGTTGGCGAGAACGGCGGATGGGATGAATGGCATGGATAGCATTGTTGAGCCGCCGAGGTCTCCGATGCCGCCCGAGCCGGATAGCGCGAGGAATTCGCCCGATGAGGTAGGGGCGGCACCGGATCCGTTGGTCTTGGTTCCGAGGATTGTGGTGACACCGGAGCACAAGGCTTTGGATGAGGGGGCGGTGAGTTTATGGGCGGCGGTGCAGCTTTCGACGCAGATTTCGAGGGCAAATGTGCCGGATCAGTTGGGGGGTTGTGGGTTGGTTGGGGAGCATGGGCATGAGCCTTCGCCGGCGGGTGAGTTGGACAGAATGGAGAGATTTTGGGGGGCGGGTGGCTAACTTTGAGATCAAGATTTGTTTCGGTATGGGTGTTTGTATGATGTTTCGTTGGAGATACTGCCGACGAGTAGGAGTTCGATTATTGAGGTTGTGGATGATAAGGCTTGCGCAATGTGAGGATTGGAGGGTTCCTTTTTGGGCTTTTGAGCTGCTAACTTGGCCGACAGAAGCACACTGTACCCTGGATCACGCTTGCTCGTTGTAGCTCATGTTCGCCTGCTACCATCGGCGAATGCACATCGTCTTCGCCGTAAGGCTCATCAAAGCTCTGACGATCTCATAGAAGACCTCGAGCACCACCTTGGTAGCACCATGACAGAGTATCTCCGGGTCCGTGTAACATATCGACACTCTGGATTTCCTCAGCAGCAACAACAACAAACGCGAAATATGACCATGAAAAAAGGCTCCAGTGACGGCATCGCTAACGTCCAGACATCAATTCAAACTACTGCCGTGGCAGTAATCAAACGTCACAACTCATCTTCGCCATGGTCTCCACGACCCCGGGCTCCGCAGCCGAATCCGATATTTAAGATTATTGCTTCGCACTGGGGAGTGCAGAGCGCAAACGAGGTGATGCAAAGGATTATCAGCTCAAAACCGTTGACGGCAAGAAAGCGAGCTATTTCGCCGCCGCTACTGGGCCCCTTGGGTATTTTGACCGGAGGGAGGTTAACGCCAATTCTGGTTAGTCCTGAGGAGAGTGGAGAGGAGGATCATGACCATGGTCGATTTAGCGAGGATCATACGAGGGAGGATTCGCACAGCGAGGAGATGGTGCGCCCTCGACAGCAGCAGGACATTCCTGCTTTGGGTTCTACTCCGCCGACAAGTATGGCGCCTCCTGTACCACCTACTATACCAAAACGGCAGACGAGTTTGAGGCAGGTGCCTGTTGACCAATCTCAGGCACAACAGGAAGTGCAACAGCCGCAACAGAGACATTTGAGGAGTGACACCAAGGATATTGCACAGATGATCAAGATAGAGTCTTGGCCTGAGTCGCCCCGGACTTCGGGCGGTAGTGATACTGGTGGGAATGATGATGGGGTAGTAGCTCAGGAAACCCCGTCTTCGATATCAATGGCTACGCCTGCTACTACAAGTACTAATCGGACTACGTATCGGTCGAGTAAAGTGAGGGGGTTGCCGAGCAGTTTGAAGATGAGTGGTGGTGGTGGTGGTGGTGGTGGTGTTGCGTCGCCGCAGATCACGCCGATGTTGATTCAGGAGGTGGGGGAAGTACCGAGGGATAGTGTGGGAAGTACAAGTTCGGGTGGTAACAGTGAGGAGAGGGAGAGGCCGTCGTATCAGTCTTATCAGTCTTTGTTGGGAAGGAGGAGGTCATTGGGGGGTGATGGGTCTAATGGGAAGGAGGGGAGGGGAGATAGGGGGAGGGATAGTAGGGATAGTAGGGATAGTAGGGATAGTAGGGATAGTAGGGATAGTAGGGATAGTAGGGATAGTAGGGAGAGTAGAGGGAGCGGGGGGAGGCCGTCTACTTCTGGAGGACTGGGAGGGGAGAAGATTTTTGGGAGTATTGTGAGGGGTATTGAGAGCGGTGGTGGGAATGGCGGGATGGGGAGGAGGGTGAGTAAGAAGGAGAAGGAGAAGGAGAAGGATAAGGAACGGGGGTGGGGGGGTTGGTCGGGGTGGTGGCAGTGAGTGAGTGAGTGAGTGGGGTTTGTGTTAGAAGTTGAGGAATATGTTAGTTCTGATATGAATAGGAGGGTTGTGTTTGTGCCTTCTATGGTTTGATTGGAACCACTCCGTGAGAGGTAGCGGATAGAGGATATGCGAGACATGCCTTTTTGGGAGCGGCATTTCCCTAGATTTTTGCCCATTGCTATTATCTTTTCAGCCTCGATGTCTGCCCAAACTCTGTATCTCAATTCTATATCTAATTGTCCAATCATGGTCTCAGACTGCCTTTACTTATAACACTGCGCGACAGACCTGGTGTAAGTTGCAAAATTCTCACATCGACATGATCTTGTCCCGTTTCAGGGGCAGCTTCCCGATTTCTGCCGTTTCCTCGTCAATTTGAAGGAACTCCTCCCACGACTCGGCCCAGATACGATCCGACCGTTCAAAATGATCAGCTTCCGGTAGTGGCTTGAGGAGCAAGAGGTAGAACTCCCACTCGTTATCATCACCTCTTGTCGGGTAAAGGAGAAGACAAGTGAAGGTACCGATGCCATCCTCGTTGAAAAGGTGTGAGGCTCCATGACATCCAATGTCCGTGCTGAGTGAAAAAATAACCCCTCAAAAAACCTGGGACGAAACAATACTCAACCTGTCTCCATACTTGACCCGGACCGTGATGTCGAGCCGCCAACCCGGAATCTCCAGTCTCGAGATTTTTTCATGTTCTGATCTGAGACAAAATCTCTTTTTCGTTTCCCAACCGCTGAATACCAAACCCAGGCACTAGTACTACTGTTGTCCTTCTGAAATCTGACAACCGCTTTTGATCAAGTGGCAGTTGGGCAACATGACGCGGCCGAATCAAGTCGAACCGATAAGAGATACAAGCTCGTCCTCTTCCCCGTCTTCCACCCAAGCCAAGTCCAACTCGGGAAGCCTCCAGGACGGCGTGTAACCCCGTGCTCTTCCGCGATCGTCCACGACAAAGCCGCGACAAGCGTGAAGTTGTCGGGCATGGCCATGCCAACGGGATGGTGCCACTCGTCGAGGAGAGACGGGCGCCCCACAAAGACCTAGTAGGGGGGGGGGGGGATCCTCGTCTGCCTTGTATCGCTGTAGAACACCCCTGAGAGCGTCTAGGCCGTCGGTCGATGCCGTGAAATTCCGGGCGACATATTGCTCGATATGGTCTCCCAACACTTCAAGTGGGCTCTTGTCCCTCCAGGCGAAGGGAAACACGTCTTTCAAAAAAGGCATTGGGAGTTCCCTCGATTAGGGGTAGAGAACCTCCAGAAACTGCGTTTTCTGGCACTGAAAGATGACTTGATGTTTGGTAAACACGAGCCGGCGCTTGGACAGGACACCTTCCGGGTAGGTCCAGCCGCGAGTTGCCCAGGGGGTTCCTGCTCCCTAGACATAGCTCAGCACTGCATATTCCTGCTCTCTTTGGCCCACAAGGGGGTACGCAATGAGGGTTGGCTCCGCACCTGCGCAGTCAACCACGCGGGAGCTGTCGAGATGAAAGGGGGCGGCCTCGCGGCATTTTGAACCCTGGAGTGAATGCTGCTGTTCGCAGTCGGATATCCATCTACGCAAAGATGTCGTAGTCGATCCTGTCTGATTCGATGGTGCGGGGATACATCATGCGAGACGGGGAGTCTCCGCTGTGATATTTATCGTCCTTGGGGGGGCGGGCGAATGGCAGTGATTGGACATCGTGAGATGATGCAGGACGAATGAAGCACCAGATCAAGGGACCAGAGCTCTCCCGCGATCTCTTCGTGGTTCCGCCTGATTTCGAGCTCAAGCGACGTTCCATGACGCTTGATGCCAGAAAGCACCACGGTCTGTTGTAAAAAGGTGCAGAGTGTGCATTCAGGGTTTCGCCCTCTGTGAATCAACGGTCGCAACGCGTCACTATTCAAGATTTTAACAAAATCAGCGTTTTTGCACTCGTGGCGGAGATTGATGGCATTGTCGGTCATTATATTGGGAAGGTGAACTGTGATGACAGTTTGTTGCCGGGTAGGTTTCAAGGCGTTGGATAGCAAGGTGGAGCGCGCCAGGCTATGATGGGTACCCAACCAGCTACCCAACCAGCTACCCAACCGAAACATTTCTGCTCAACCACCTCTAAAAATCTTATCTCCGTGTGTATGGGAGGTAGTGATGGCATCATGCCCCTGATATGGCAAGACTTTCGAGTTGTTTTGGGTTCGTTCTCCCTACACCTTGAACCTGCCCGTCGACCGCTAAGCTAGCTCCCTTTCCCGTCCCAGGTGCTTCCCATGCTTTCGCTCTCAACCACCAGTAACGACGGAGCTGGGTCCGGTGCAGGAATCCGGCAAGACAAACCCTCTGATAGCCAACTCGGTTCACAATAGCTTGGCGGTTTCTCGTCAATCGCCTGCATCCTCGAGCTTGGAATCTCATCAGGATGCTATGTCTGCTACTCGATCTCCGGATCTGGCAGAAGAACATGTCTTGTGTACAGCCTGCCACAGCGCAGCTTCCAACTCAGATCTCCTGCCGACGCTGAAAAAGGGCACCGAGAATTTTCGGTCATATGCCTCCCTCTCTGAGCTCAAGCTTTCGTCGCTATCAGGGTGCCATCTCTGTTCTCTGCTTTTTGGGGTGTTGAGAGGCAGCGACATTGGTTCTGGAAGTGTACAGGTTAACCTCTTCGTCTCACGATCAGGAGGGGCCTGGCTAAAAGTCGGGATTCTCGATCCGGGGGAAACTCGAGAAAAGATAATGGGGGAGCTTTCTGTCTTTAGGAATTTGGAAGGACGGCTTGACAATCCGCCCGAGCCCGCTTCGCCTTTTATGTTTCCAGACCCCAGCATTTACAGAAATGCACGATTGTCCAAGTCTCTCTCCCACGATGTCTCGGCCGCTCTGGCAAGAGAATGGCTTAGGCAATGCGTCACAAGTCATAAAGATTGTGCTCTTGCGGCAAATCTCGCCACCCCTAACCACGGCTACCCGACACGGCTCATTCAAGTCACCGGAGATGAGAACCTAAATCTACGACTCGTCCTCACAGAAAACTTCAGCAAATCAAAACCGCCCTACCTCACCCTTTCCCACTGCTGGGGAGCGGCCAAAATCCTCCGACTCCTCCTGGACAACCTCGCCGACTTCCAACACCAGATCCCATTCAACCAACTTCCTCCAACCTTCCGCGAGGCAGCAAGAGTCACGCGCCAGCTAGGCCACACACACATCTGGATCAACTCCCTCTGCATCATCCAAGACTCCAAAGCCGACTGGCGCGACGAATCCAAGATCATGGGCGACATATACGCGAATTCCGTCTGCACCATCTCCGCCTTGACGGCCCTCTCCTCCGTCCAGGGGTGCTTTGCAGAGAAGAGCCCCGACGGCAAAGAGACCACGCCGCGGAACCCGCTCGCTTTTCGAATCTGCCATCTCCCTCACGGGCTTCACGTTGATTGCCACCAGCGTCTTGACACGATTTTGCAGATTGACCGCTCCCCTTTACCGCTGCACGCGCGTGGGTTCTGCAGGAGCGGATTTTGGGACCCAGGACGGTGTACTACGGCGCCTGGGGTTTGGCTTGGGAGTGTGTAGAGTGCTTGGCGACGGAGAGCAAGCCCTGGGGGGAGGTTGGTCGGTTTTCTCCAAAGGCGGATTTCTTGAGGGAATGCTTTCGAGCCCCTTCCTCCTCCTCCTCTGGGGGAGACTCATCCACTGCGCTGTTTTCAGCGTGGCGCGCTGTCCGGGCGGCCTATACTGGTTGTCAACTAACGTATTTTGACGACCGCCTTGTTGCCGTGTCGAGTCTTATTCAGCGGATCGAGAGGCTGACATCATGGAAGAACCTCTGGGGGATGTGGGAGGACAAGCTGCTTGATGAACTTTTGTGGTTCACTGATGCACCTAGTGATCGGCCGCACACGAGGGAGTATTTGGCGCCGACGTGGTCATGGGCGGGCTTGGAAGGGAGGGTTTTTGAGGAGATGGCTTTGATGCCTCGCGTTGGACCTAGCGGGGAGGATCTTCTTCCTGAGTGGATTGGAAAAGTTGTCGAGACGGGAATGGATGAGAAGGGGAGGGGGTATGTGCGTTTGCGGGGGGCTGTGAAGCGGGTTGTGCGCCGTCGAGATGGCTCTGGGGGTGGTTTAGTTGATAGGGATAGAGGAGGGGATCATGCGGTTGCCTCTTGGGCGGCGGATACGGTGGAGGATTCGAAGCGTCCCTTAGGCACTTC